AAAGAATGAGATTGTATCGTCTGGAAAAAATTAAAAAAAAATACTAGCTGTCAATGAATGTATGTTAATTTCAATTACAAAAAGTTTTTCAAACACAATTACACGATGAGTGAAAGTGTGAAAATAAAATTTCTTTAGGCGTTGTTTAACATAATCCACTGTGTGAACGAATATTATAGATTTTATTAATTATCAATTATTTTATTTCTCTAATGAAGGTTCATTTCTAAATGCTAATTTCAATGACAAACCGATCATGTCATATTTGAAGTATGACTTTAATTACATTATTGTTTTCAAATATTATAAATGTTTTTAATGTTTTTATAAGTATATAATTTATAATTTATTATTATATAAATATGTATAATGGTTTACATTAATAAATGTGTTACCACATATGGTAACTCGATTATTCAAAATTGTTATATGATGTATTTATTCTTAACTTAAATGCCATCTCGCGCAATAGCAAAAAAGTTTTATTTCAATCGCCTGTGAACCTTACGCGCACTCTTTTTTTCGAATATGCCCCTATTTCGCCGCCACTGCGAGTGAATCTACCCGGCTGTCCCACAACCGCGCCGCGGGTCGCGCGTGGCTGTGCGTAGCTTTGACCTAGCCTTGAATCGTAGCATGTAACGCTGAGATGTATTATGCGTTACTGACTACTGTTGTGTTTTAAACATGTTAAATGTATTTATGCATACATGGGGATTTTAGTTTTTCGAATTCTGTTCACGATTATGGCCTACTTCTGCATTTGGGATAAAACATAATACGCTTTAAAACGGAGACTCGGTGAAACGATTTTCGTCAATTTACATAGTATTTGAAAATTCTTATACTGTGTCTAATGCATATGGCTAACTGGTTAGTTGCCAATCAGATGAAAATGTTATGTTATGTTATTACAGATAAAATAATTAAGAATAAATAATTAAAAATTAGTGGGGGCGCATGGCTTCGTGCCTTAAGGCAAATTGCTGGAACTTTCCGTACCAAAAATTATTATTTTTTTTAAAAACGATTAACATTTTTGAAAAAAAAATACTTTGAAAAAATTAGATTTTTGAGAAACTATAAATTTGACAAAACATTACTTTTTTTTTGAAAAAAAAAATTATTGAAAAAAAATGTTTCCTTTATTTTGACATATTTTGAAAACAATCGTACTGCTTTAACTGCATAGAGACAAAAATATCGAAGCGCGTAAGCGCCGCGTCGCCGTCTAACGAATACACATTTGTACGGAACCCATAGGAATGTAAACAAAATTTATACTTATTGTGAAAATCTCTATAAATTATCTGATAATTTGATGTGCATATGTCTAATGATCTTTTTTGACCGCCAAATGGCATTTTTTATACTTTTTTTACAAGAAAACACACACATACACGCACACACACATACATACACACATACACACACACATACATCCATTTTTTCCAAGGTATGCCAAAATGTTCAGAAGGATTTGAAACGTAAAGATATATAAAAATGTTCATTTTTTTGCGATTACTATAACTTGCCCTATGCGAAGTTATTAAATAAAAAGCTAGTGGTGAATTTGCTAGAACTTTCTGTATCGAAAACTAATATTTTTAGAAAAACTTTGACATTTTTTAGAAACTTAAATAAAATTTGAAAATTTTTAGAATTTTGAAAAATTAGTTTTTTTGTAATTTGAAATATGTTGGAAATTTTGATCTTTTTTTCAAAGCAGTCGCGTTGCGTTTACTGCGTAGGGATAAAATATTGAAGCGTGAAAGCGCCGCGTCACAGTATAACGGATACACATTGGCACGGAACCCACAGATATGAAAATAGAATTTGTTTTTATTATTAAAATTTCTATAAAACATCTGATAATTGGGTGTGCCTATGACTGATTATCATTTTTAGGCATCTTTAAAAAATTCAAAAAACATCTGATTCGTATGACAGGGAGAGACGTTTCAAAGATACGGGGCAAAATGTGCCGAAAATGGTAATTAAACAAAGCGTCCTATTCGAATGATTTAAAAAAAACATTTCATTTCTATTAACGAAATGAAGAACTGATAAAATTTTTGGGAAGGCAGATCTAGCGGTTTCGGAGATACCAAGCAAAGAGTGCAGATAATAGAAATTGAGTTTTTGAAAGAATGGAGTATCTGATTTGAATGATCCAAAAAGCATTCAATATGTAATGATAGGAAGAATTAGCGATCAGTTTTTGGCAAATGCAGGTCCAGCCATTTCACAGTTACGGTGCTAAATGTGCTAATATTGGCAATTTTTGAGAGAACTAAGCATTCGATTTGAGTAATTCAAAAAACTTTGTGCTTGTATTGACGAAACAATTGCTTCTGGGGGAATTTTTTTATTTCAAAATTCAAAAAAAAAAATTTCTATTTTTTATATCGAAAATAATTTGGATTTTAATTTTAATTCTGGCTAAAGTTCTATAGTTCAATTGATTAAGTTTTGTTTATTTACGTTTCTGTAACACATAAAAGTCCTCGTCTAATTCATGAGTTCTTATATTTTGTCTACAAAATTAGAATAATGAAAGTTACAGTATTAATAATAATCTATTTAAAAACATTCAATGTGCCTCAAATATTTTGTTACGGTACGGGAAGTTCCAGCAATTTGCCTTAAGGCACGATGCAATACACCACTAGTTTTTTTTGGGGCTTATCATTTCCTTGTCCTCTCTAGCTTATTCACAATGTTGTATAAAAAAAACTGAATTTTTAAAAAATGCATACATTTCCTATGTTCTATAGATTTATTATATTTGTTTCTTCCAGCTTGCTGTTGAGGCGACGAAAATGACTTCGTCGTCCATATCGCGCGAATGATCCACATAATCGATGAATCGATTCACCGATCGATAACAGATCGTTAATCGATCTCCGATAAAATCTACCAATTTCAAACAAAATGTTGAGTCCAAAAATGCAGCGCACTGTGCGCGTCAACGACAGTCAGCTGGTCATGCTGTCGGATAGAGCACACTATGACCACTCACAGGTAAATAAAATTGTTTTTTAAAATAATAATATCCATATAGAGCATTTCTAGCAACTTTTAGTTTATTGCAAATAAAATTCAATTTAAAAGCACTATATAAAAAAATAATATAGTAACAGCATTAGGATATAGAGTTCTGGCGAGGAGTTAGGTTAGGTTTGATATCAAATAGAATAAGCAGTTTTAGTTAGTTCATATGTTAGATAACTTACGCAAAACTTCTAGGAGTGAAACTAAAACAGGAAAATAAATTGCACTATTATTTATTAAAATTGAATATATTAATATTCATATTTTTCAGTCGGGGTATTTGCATAAGAGAACTGCAGACAGCGGGCAAGTGGCAATTGAGATGGTTCGTCCTGTACCAGGTAAATATTTGATTTTATAATTGATCACTTTATATTTCGGTATTAACAAATCATAATCACTAAATCACTAATATCACAATTACTAGATTATTGTTAGTAGTAAGCAATTATTTTGTTAATGTACCAGTTAGGTGGGAAAAAGTAAATTAAATGGTAATTTGAACATTTGTATATAATTATTATTATATATTAATATTATTTGTAATAATGTTAAATACAACAGATTAGTCATAAAATCAAATTATACAAGAAAACGCAACCGCCGACACCTCCACGACTGTTGTGACAGGCTTAAATATAGGTTACAAAAACAATAGCTATAAACAAACAACTGGCAACGACTTTTATTGCCAGAAAATAATTCATAAAGACTTTTGTTGTCAGAAATATGTAACACAATACAACAAAATTATCAAAAAAAGTTTATTAATATAATATAACAATAATATAACACAACAATTTTTTAAAGAAAGTAATAAGAATAAATTTTTTGTTTGCTTGTATTAAATCTATATTTTTGCTTTTTTTGTATTTTGTCACAGTTAAGTAATATTTTTTTACTGTTTAGTCTTCACCTGAAAAGGACAAGACACACACAACATATACATGTTAATTGTTAACTAACTACTACTGTTATACTTACAGAAAAATAACAAAGTGATTTATATATCCGTAACTATCAGTATGCATGTAACAGTTATCATTAGAAAAAATCGAACTAAAAACTTATTTTTGACCCTCAAAATGCAATGCTACCTACAGATCAAGTTAACGTACTGCGCTTACTCATTGTAATAATGGAAACTTGTTCAAACAAACATACCCTACCTTTCTCCCTTTGGACCCTATCTCAAAATCAGTAGGTTTAGCTTTTACGACGACTGTCGCTGCAATACCCTGGCATAACAGTATTAAGTTTTCCCTACTAGATGACAAGAATCAATGAAATATTGAAAAGAATTAAATTTACATAATGGATGTTGATTATATAGAGAATCAGTGACTTATAATCCAATGTCATTACATTAATGTTTGTACTTGCTTTATTCTTATATAAAACATCGACTGATATTTTTTTTAACTTACCGAAAGAAAAACTTTCATTTTCACCAAAAAATCTGACCGGTCATTTTTAATTTTTCTCTACGATTCATGTTATTCAGAATCGTTTGAGCCCAGAATTGGAATAAGGATGTGTTCTTGTATATGTGTGTATATGATCCAAAATTTTACTTTCCTCATAAACGGATTAAGCTCGATTTAAAAAAAAATATTTTAAAAATTCTGATTAGTTTATAATAGAGATCGGCTCTGTATTTGTTTGTAATTAATTGTTGAAATAATTTCGATAATTTTGTTGAAACTTTTTATCACAGTCGAGTTTCATGGTCTTAAAGAACATACTAAAACAAATAGCCCTACGAAAAGTTGTTTAATTTTAAACGTTTTGATATACAATCTTGTTTTTTTATTTTTTGCGATTTTTTATCTTTAGATCGAAATATATCGAACAGCTCTTTAGATAAATTTCCTAATGCAGGTGTCAACAATTTTCTACAGATTCTGCAAATAAATATATCATAACTGTACTTGCCCATCAATTTATAAGTTTATTTATTTAATTTGTTTAATGTTATTTTAATGATAATTCATAGTAATTGAAGCTAATTTACATCTGACTAATTACTAATGCGATATACTTGAAATAATATTAATGTCTTTTGAACATGCGATTTCTACCTCATTTATTGTGGAATTTCTAGAGTTGGTTTAATTATTAAATGAATATAAAATGCAACATTTTATTTATGGTTTTGTAATAAATTATTTACTAGATTTTTACTTATTTTTCAAGTAAGTGATTGAAAACATAAAGCATTTTTTAATATATTTACGTTTTTTATATTTTTTATACAATGTATGCCTAGTGTATAATACTCATATATGCCATATATATTTACTCGTATGCGTTTGTTTTGAAGCATTTTTAAATTAGCCAAATGAATAGTACCAATTTATTTTTATTTATTCATTAATTTATAAGCTAGTCGGAATTAATAATGAAAAGCATTATTTGAAGCCACCGATATGCAGATTTTATTTATCTCTTGCAGATTATCCTTTACATAGAATAAATATTTTATTTGCAATAATTCTGTTTTTCTGATAGCCATGAAATGTTTAAAAGCTATTGATAGCTCAATATTGTTATAGTCCATTTTTATATTTTCAATTTTGTTAATATTATTATACTAGCTGACCCGGTAAACGTTGTTTTGCTAAGTAAGGTATATGCTAAACAATTTCTAAAAACTCAGAAAATTAATGCTTTTAGTGTATAAGGACGTGTTGTTTGAAAACAATAAACTCAATTAGTTTGTCTATATTTTGCAAATACAATCAAACTGAAAGTTTTATACACTTTCTACAGAGAACATGGTGTAATCCAATCCAAGTCTTTTTTGGTAATCCAGTTTTTCAGATTCTTTTTGGATTCGGAATTTTGTGTATATTTGTAAATAATAGCTTATGAAAAAAATTTCAAATTTCTGCGCGGAGAGATAGAAAATGAATTAAGTATTTTTTCTTAGACCTGCTTTATGAAAATTTCAAGTAACAATCGATGAATTAAAGTAAATTTAATAAAAAGTATATATGTAGAGCAGGGTGAGGCACAAAGGTCCAATTTGACTTTGAGTAAATATAAACTATATTGTGAAAACCATAACAATTATATTACAACAAATAACACAGTTCAAACGAACAATTATTTGACTACGTTCAGTAAAACTGCCAGCAACTTCATCATTGTAGATATGTGCTTTTTTGATGTCTTTCAAAAATTTGTTATTTAGACCTTTTTACCCTATAGGCGGGGTAACTTGGAACAGCCAGGTGACAAACAGGTTTAATGTCTTATTTTAAATTTAAAGGTATTTCACAAAATAATTACATTTTTAACTAATGCTAAAAAACTACCAACGGAAGAAAGTACTTTTATTATGGATTTTCAAAAATTACCGTTCATTTCCCGATATCAGGGTCATAAGAATCAAGGTTATAGCTAGTTACACATCTTTTTCCCTCTACTTTCAAATATTGTTGTTAAATAATGCTTAACTTTACTGGTTTTTGACACTTCGGTGGTGGACTTTTTAAACCCTGAACCTTCATATATTACATTATTATTATATATTCTTCGAAAAATTCTGGAAAATTATAACTGGGAAAATTTTATTTGACAAAATATCCTTTTGATCGATACCAAATTTAGTTTCTGAATTTAAATAATATTAATAAAAAATAATGTAACCTAGAGAATGTTTTATAAATTCCAATGAGTATATAATTATACGAATAAGATTCAAATTTCAGAGCACCGTGTTTGAGAAAAATATGATTTGCAAAAAAAGAGTGCTACAACGCCAAAAAGTGCATTTTCATATTATCATTTCAAAAAAGTTGATATTTTGAGTTTCTAGTAACACTTGCAATCCGTTTAATAACGTTTTTATATATAAATAAAACTACAAACAAAACTACTTACTACAATTTAATCATAATTAAGTAATATTTTCGTAAAACATCCTATTTAAACGTAGTTGAACATCATCTGTCAAAAACGTTTGACATTTGACGTATTAGCCACCGTCCATTGTTTCATTAAAATAAAGCTTCTACAAAAATTTTCAAATTAAAAATGTAATGCTTCTACGCGATTTTGAAATAATATCTCACCTTTCTGAAAACCTACTGATTGGCACGAATTAAGACTGGACAATATTTTGTTTTCGAGTGTTAGCGGATCATTCTATCGAGAGCTCCATTTTTATATATAAGAATATATGCTTCGCATTCTATATTATTATTTATATAAATGGTTAAAATACTAAAAAACAGGAATTGCGTTTTTTCAATTAAAATTTATTTTAGTGCTTGGATATAAGTTTCAAGCCTCCAGCAATAGTGTTAGAAAGTTCTGTGATGGAAAATAGAATTTTAACTATAAGGTTCTGAATCATATTTCTGCAAAGTTTTGAAAGACATAAAATAAATATTTTATCTGCCACTTGCGCTTCGAGTTATTTCTATAAGTTGATATTAACTCTATACTACCATTCAAAAAATCTTTTCGCTTTGTTGAAAATTTTAAAATCGTCTTATGACCGTTTTTTGCATATAAGTGCAAATTTAGGACTTCATACATAAGGTCACTATTAAATATTTAAAATTTCCAAGATTAATTAGATTGAAACACTAAAATAACAATTATTGAAATAAGGTTTAGTTTACTCTGTTATATCGTTTACTAACTCTTTTTCTCATTGATATAATTACCATTATATCAAAAAATTGATTACAAAAAAATTAACATTATTTTCAGAATTTGTTATTTTACTACGAGACAGAAGGTTCAGGCAAACCTTCAGGAGTTCTTTTACTTGAAGGCTGTTACT